CCTCCTTTCTTCCTCCTTTCTTCCTCCTTTCTTCCTCCTTTCTTCCTCCTTTCTTCCTCCTTTCTTCCTCCTTTCTTCCTCCTTTCTTCCTCCTTCCTTCCTCCTTCCTTCCTCCTTCCTTCCTCCTTCCTTCCTCCTTTCTTCTTCCTTTCTTCTTTCTTCCTCCTTTCTTCTTTCTTCCTCCTTCCATTTTTTCTTCATTATTTTCTTCATTTTTTCTTGCTTTCTTTCAATCCTCAAAGAAGGCCATTGACAGCTGAGCTTTTTTCATCCAGTGTCCTCACTGCTTGAGCAAGAACTGTGGCTTTTGCTGGCTTAATTGCTGAAAAACATCTCAAACCAACCCTGGGCTTGATTTAAAAGCATTAATATTTCTGTGCCTATTACATGGAGTGACCTGAAATAGTTTTTTAACCTTGGGAACCTTGATGTTGTGATAAATAGAAAAGATTTACAAGATCATGCCAAACCTTTCAGGATGAAATTGGACATTAATTTTTTTTTAACTGCATCATAATACCTTAATCTATGTTTTATAATCTATGTTTTATAATCTATATTCTATTTAATCTATACCTTATTCTCCACTCTCGTAGAAAATAACAAAAAAAATCATCAAATAAACTTTCAGCTGTTGTCTTCTCACATGTTTTGTACATCTGTGAGGTAGTGATTTTTATAACATTTTTTTCCCCATTGACACAAGCAATTCTAACCAGAATTACTGTTAGCTATGTTAATTAAAGGCTTTATGCATTAAAGAATTTACAGTAGGTATCTCTGACAATTTAGGAAATTCAGTTTCTGAATTGCTTAATGCAGTGTTTGGGATCACTGCCTTGAAACTGCAGCTCTGATTTTTTCTGTGCTGTGCATCTTTTTCTTCAGAGCAGCCTTGTCCCATGAAGCTGAGTACTAAAGGCCTTTCTTAAAATGACAATTTGTTTTAATGTTTCTATGGTCCTCTGTGTCTCTAATAAATACTCTTTTCTAAGACCAAAACATTTGAGTGCTGAAGAGGTAGGTATTAATGCTGACATTAAAAATAAACCTGTAGTGTGTTAAGGTAACATGACTGTTTAAAGCCCCTTTCTAAATAAACTGATTTATATGCAAAGTTTAAGAGATGCAGATTGTCAGGGATTGCTGCTGAAGTGTTGAGGCATAAGCAGAAGAATGAGTGTATTTTTTTAAAACAGATTGGCTTTTAAAATGATTGCAGTGTTCCCATTGTTTTAAAATAATCTTAATAAGTGATATCTTACTGTAGGGCATTTACTTGAAGGGAATCAAATTAATTAAATAGATAATATCAGCAAATAATAGGCTCTAAGTTTTTGGAAGGAGAGCTAGGAGCTCATAGGTATTTGTCCAAAGGCATAGCCCAAGACAGACACTGAATTCCATCAGCAGAGTGTTTCCACGAGGCTCTGGCTGTTGGTACCTGTGCCCCATCACGTAGCTCACAGAACACCTGCCCTGACACACCTATTTTTCACACATAGACACAATAAATGAAACCTAAGCTAAAGCCAGGGTTTTTTTTTGCCACTGATGTTGGCACAGAACGTGTTTCTGCTATTTTCATTGCCTTCAGAAAAGGCTAAACACAGCCTCCTTTATGATGTTTCAGTGCTGTTGGTTTTGAACTAAATGGGATACACATCCACAGGCCTTATATGGATGTCTGCAATATGAAATATTGGGTCACAGCTTGTTAAAAAAAATCCTGATAATGGCTTTGTTGCCTTGAATTTGGTTATAATATCACAAAAAGTCAGCTAAGGTTATTGATGTACCAAAGTATTTAAATAGTGTTAGAGTTTTGGCATAACTTAGGGAAAGGTTTTCCAAGTTACAGTTTTATTTTTAAATCATATGATGTAGCACACACTACCTTTTATCCTACAGTGCTACACAGCACAACTTCTACCTGTAACTTTTGGTTCACTCTGGTTTGGTTACACCTGAAGCCATAGGAAAGGAGTTTGTGGTTTGGTCTTTTTGCCCCAAAAAGAGGCGAAATGAATTAGGAACATGTTGGAAGAGCTTGGAGCAGCTCCTTAATTCAGAATTCTAATTGGTTTAGATTATTTAATCCTTTAATTTCATATGAGGATTCTTCCTTTTTTCTTTCTCTCTCTCTCCCACCCCAAGCCTTGTGACATTTCATGGTTGGTTTTTTGGTTTTTTGTTTTTTAACAAAAAAAACCAGATAAATATCAAAGTCCATGGTGAAAAACCTGTTTGTTTTTGCAGGTATACTCCATCCTCCCAGCTCCGTAGTCAAGAGGATGCCAAGGAATGGCTCCGGTCCCATTCAGCAGGAGGACTGCAGGATACTGCTGCCAATTCTCCATTTTCATCTGGATCCAGCATAACATCACCCTCTGGAACCAGATTTAACTTCTCGCAGCTTGGTGAATAATTATCTGTTTGAATAATCCCAGCAGTGCGTTGTGTGTCCTGAGCACTGCATGTTGCACAGGATAATTTCCTTTCAGCAGCTCCCACATTGCCCCTGAGGAGGCACTCTCACTGAAATGAGTGTGACTGATTAGCATTGCTATCTCCTATGCCCAAAGGTGCCATGCTTGCAGTAACTTGGATTCTCTGGGACTAATCAGGTTCCCTAATATAAATTGTGAGCTTTATAAACTGCTCAGTAGAGCTGTTGTTGGTGTCACACATTGGGGTGCTTAGAGGACATGTGATGTTGCCTGCAGATGTTGCAACATCTGTAATTCTGTAAAATCCAAGCATTTTACTTACTGTGTGTGCCAGTCTCATCAGTTTGGTATTTTGTCTTTGTCTTTTCCAAGTGGCTCATTGGAAAATTGCAGAAAGCTCAGTCAAGCAATCTATAGACGTCAGGGGAGTTTCAAGTTAGAAAAAAAGCCATTCCTTCACTTAATTTCTTTGATAAACACATTTTAAATTGAGGAAACAATAAATGCTGATTGGCAGGATCCATGAAGCATTGCAGGTTCTAGTTGGCTGTATCAGCAGTTGAAATAACCTGATTTAAAGTGCTAGTGGTGCTCATCTCTGTTGGGCTGCTTAAATATGACTTCGTTGCTTTGCAGTTTCTTCAGGTTTGTAAACTTCATCTTGAAGTGACATCTGGAAAAAAAAATACCTCTTTGGTTATGACTTTCAAAAGCCCCTCCATAATAATTAATATTATTGTTTAACATAAATCTATTGCTTATAGTAACTAATTTATAGACAATAATTATGTGCAAAATAGTTAAGCTTGCACTTGTGAACTTGTTGTGGGAATTCGGAGCAGATTGCACAGTCACTTATTTCTAGTGCAGTTTTGAGTTGCAGTAATGACATTCTGGAGCCTTTCCTTGAGTGTTCTGGAAAGAAACACATTGAATAAGTGGCTTTAAATAAACTGACACTTAGCAAAATTTCAGCTGAATATACACACAGCATGACTGCATTTCCAACAGCTAGCAAACTGTCAGGAAAGTTCATGAAATTTAAAAAAATAACCAAAAAGTGTTGTCAAAAGCCCAGAAACTTAACTCTTTATGTACAGTGTTGGAGATTATTTGTATTAGCTTCAAAAGCTCTTTGGCCACAAACTGCAATGAACACCCAAAAAAAAAAGAAAATATGTTTTTCTGTGTTTTTAAGATGAGAGCTTAGAGATATTGGAATAAGAATTGGATTTAATTTAAGAGCAAATGATGATATGAAATTCAAGCACCTGTGAACTGAATTATCCTGTTTTCTACAATAGTCTGTATCAGTTGATGGTCTATATAGGAACAGGCAGTGACAGCACACCAAGAGGAACCAGATGTACAGTGATTTTGTTCTCTTTTTTTACCCACAAAATAACTAATTCTTATTAAATAGCAGGCATAATTTTAGCACAAAAGCTCTTTTGAGAAATGTGAGATTGCAGTACTTTTGTACTCTGAACACTGACTGGAAGAATATTGGCTTTTAAGGCAAAATTAGTATTTTACAGTTCTCAGGACATCATAGCTGAAAGTTCTGAACTGTACAGCTGAGCTGTACAAGCTCTTTATATTTTTGACTAAAATATATAGAAAAATGTCATTTTCTTAGAACCTGAAGGCTTTGAAGAAGGTAAGTCCTGCTCTATATAGACAAAATACTACAATTTTTGAGGAAGAACTGTTCTAAATTAAATGATTAATTAATTTATTAATTAACTAATGATTGAATTGATTAATTAACTAATTAATGAATTAGTTAATGACAAGATAATTTCCTTTCATTCTTCCATGTCTGAGAGGTGTTAGTGAGGTGACTCAGCTTGTTTGTGGAATTATGGACACATGGACATTATGGACACACAGACAGTGTTTAAAATGACCTTATTTGACTTGAGTTTTCACATGCACTGGCTTAGTTTACATACCCCTTTCTTGAACATCAATGGAGCCTGGAGAAGACAATATCAAAAATTTGTGTCTTAAAGTGAAGGGCGGGGGGGAAGAACCTTTGCTGGTGGAGGATGGCAGAAGGAGAGCAGGAAGGGCCGTGCTGGTGGCACTGAGGGCGTGTGTGGTGTTTGTGAGC